CCACCATGCCGGCGCACCCCTCACAGGGTTCGTGGCCCCATAGGGATCCCCACCAAAGGCCCGAGTGGCAGCGTTCGCATGCAGCTCCGCCCTCATTTCGGCGCACCCCTGAAAAGGTTCGTGGCCCCACAGGGAGCTCCACCGAAGATGGTGCCCACAAGTGCGGCACTCACAACTGCATATGGTTGGGTCCTTCGCCAGGTTCATATTCTTTCAGTTTTTCTCCCAACCCTCCTGTGGTGTTGTGCCCTCGTTTTGAAGAGACATCGCACCGCGTTGCTCCCCTCTCCTCTGCTCCTTCCCCTCCTTCCTCCCTCCTCCTCGTATCTTCTCTTTGCGTGTCTCTGTTTCGGCACCCGTCACGCACTTCGTGGGGCTCCACCGAAGGCCCCAGTGGCAGGGCTCGCATGGAGGCCCCGCCCTATTCGGCACACCTGTCACACGCTTCGTGGCACCTTAGGGCACTCCACCGAAGGCCCCAGTGGCAGGGTTCGCATGGCGGCCCCACCCTATTCGGCACACCCCTCACGTTTCGTGGCCCCGCAGGAAGCTCCACCGAAGGCTCCAGTGGCAGGGTTCACATGGCGGCCTCCATTGCAGCACACCCCTCACACGTTTCGTGGCCCCATGGGGAACTCCATCGAAGGCCCCAGTGGCAGGGTTCGCATGGCGGCCCCGCCCAATTCTGGCACACCCCTTTCACACGTTTCGTGACCACATGGGGAACTCCATCGAAGGCCCCAGTGGCAGGGTTCGCATGGCGGCCCCACCCAATTCTGGCACACCCCTTTCACACGTTTCGTGACCACATAGGGAGCTCCACCACAGGCCACAGTGGCAGGGTTCGTATACCTTCCGTTGCGTATTTTGAGACACCCCTCACACGTTTCGTAGCACCATAAGGGTTCCACCGAATGCCCCAGAGGCAGGGTTCGCATGGTGGCCCCGCAACAATTCGCTACACCCCTCACACGCTTCGTGGCCCCATAGGGAGTTCCACCAAAGGCCCCCGTGACAGGGTTCGCATGGCGGCCCCGCCTCCATTTCGGCACACCCCTCACACGCTTCGTGGCCCCATAGGGAGTTCCACCACCGGCGCCAGTGGCAGGGTTCGCGTGGCGGCCTCGCCCTATTTCGTCGTGGCCCCATAGGGAGTTCCACCGAAGGCCCCAGTGGCAGGGTTCGCATGGCGGCCCCGCCGCCATTTCGGCACACCCCTCACACGCTTCGTGGCCCCATAGGGAGTTCCACCAAAGGCCCCAGTGGCAGGGTTCGCGTGGCGTCCCCTCCCTATTTTGTCGTGGCCCCATAGGGAGTTCCACCGAAGGCCCCAGTGATAGGGTTCGCGTGGTGGCCCCGCCTCATATCGTCACACCTCTCACACGCTTCGTGGCCCCATAGGGAGTTCCACCAACGGCCCCAGCGACAGGGTTCGCGTGGCGGCCCCGCCCTATTTCGTCGTGGCCCCATACGGAGTTCCACCGAAGGCCCCAGTGGCAGGGTTCGCATGGCGGCCCCCCGTCACGCCCCTCACACGCTTCGTGGCCCCATAGGGAGTTCCACCACCGGCGCCAGTGGCAGGGTTCGCGTGGCGGCCTCGCCTATTTCGTCGTGGCCCCATAGGGAGTTCCATCAACGGCCTCAGTGGCAGGGTTCGCGTGGCGGCCCCGCCTCCATTTCGGCACTCCCCTCACACGCTTCGTGGCCCCATAGGGAGTTCCACTAAAGGCCCCAGTGGCAGGGTTCGCGCGGCGGCCCCATCCTATTTCGTCGTGGCCCCAAGCGAGTTCCACCGAAGGCCCCAGTGGCAATGTTCGCATGGCGGCCCCGCCTCCATTTCGGCACGCCCCTCACACGCTTCGTGGCCCCATAGGGAGTTCCACCACAGGCCCCAGTGGCGTGGCGGCCCCGCCCTATTTTGTCGTGGCCCCATGGGGAGCTCCACCGAAGGCCCCAGTGATAGGGTTCGCGTGGTGGCCCCGCCTCATTTCGTCACGCCCCTCACACGCTTCGTGGCCCCATAGGGAGTTCCATCAACGGCCTCAGTGGCAGGGTTCGCGTGGCGGCCCCGCCCTATTTCGTCGTGGCCCCATAGGGAAAGGCCTCAGTGGCAGGGTTCGCGTGGCGGCCCCGCCTCCATTTCGTCACACCCCTCACACGCTTCGTGGCCCCATAGGGAGTTCCACCACCGGCGCCAGTGGCAGGGTTCGCGTGGCGGCCTCGCCCTATTTCGTCGTGGCCGCATGCGGAGTTCCACCGAAGGCCCCAGTGGCAGGGTTCGCATGGCGGCCCCGCCGCCATTTCGGCACACCCCTCACACGCTTCGTGGCCCAATAGGGAGTTCCACCAAAGGCCCCAGTGGCAGCGTTCGCGTGGCGGCCCCGCCCCATTGCGGCACATCCCTCACGCGTTTCGTGGCTCCCAATGACGGCGCACTGGGCTCGGGGGCCGAGGGCCAGAGCCTCGACCACAAATGTGGGTATTGGGGCCCGGGCCCGCCTGAGAGGCCTAAAATCGCCCCGGGGAGCCCTCAGACAGCAATCTTGGCGGCCCCAGACGGTCTCGAGACACCCCCAAGACGCCGTCCAGGGGTCTCTGGCGACGCACGTTGCGTTTTAAACTACCCTGGAGGCCCCCAAGACGCTCCAAGAGGCCTTTACGATGCCGCCCGAGAGCGCCCCGAGAGGGCAACGTCGTTGATTATCATGTGTTTTTTCCCTACCTGAGCTCTGCCTAGAAGGGTTCTTACTCTCTTAGCTTAAAGGGGCCGGGCAGTGTAAACCGCCCCGGGCGGTTCCCCCAGTCCCCGGCCCGCGGTTCCCCCCAGTCCCCTGGGAGCTTTAGCTTTAGCTTTAGCTTTATCTTAGCTCTAGCTTAGCTCTAGCTTAGCTCTAGCTTAGCTTTAGCTTAGCGTTTCGCTTAGCTTTTCGCTTAGTGTTTAGCTTAGCTTTAGCTTAGCTTTAGCTTAGCTTGAGCTTAGCTGTAGCTTAGCTTTAGCTTAACTTTAGCTTAGCTTTAGCTTAGATTTAGCTTAGCTTTAGCTTAGCTGTAGCTTAGATTTAGCTTAGCTGTTGCTCAGCTTTAGTTTAGTTTTAGCTCAGCTTTAGCTGAACTTTATCTTAGCTTTAGCTCAACTTTATCTTAGCTTTAGCTTAGCTTTAGCTTAACTTCGGTTTAGCTTTAGCTTTAGCTTAGCTTTAGCTTAGCTTTAGCTTAGCTTTAGCTTAGCTTTAGCTTAGCTTTATCTTAGCTTTATCTTAGCTCTAGCTTAGCTCTAGCTTAGCTTAGCTTAGCTTGAGCTTAGCTTTAGCTTAGCTCTAGTTTAGCTCTAGCTTAGCTTTAGCTTTGCTTTAGGTAAGCTTTAGCTAAGCTTTAGCTTAGCTTTAGCTTAGCTTTAGCTTAGCTTTAGCTTAGCTTTAGCTTAGCTTTAGCTTAGCTTTAGCTTAGCTTTACTCTTACTACTACTGCTGCTTTCCTAGGGGCTCCAACTCCTAGGTAGGGTCGCACTGGGATAATTGTTTAAATGTATTTTGCATTCTCGCTGTTTCGTGATCCGGCGCTACAGCACGGCCCAAGATGCGCCCAAAACCGTTCCAAGACGGCCCAAGAGGCCCCCAGGAGGGCCCCAAGGCGGCCCAAGAGAGCCCCGAGATGGCCCCAGAGCCGCTCAATACGCCGCAAGAGGGTCCCAAGAAGGCCCCAAGAGGGGCCCAAGAGAGATCCGTAGCCATTTTGGCTCGAGCCATTTCGGCTCAAGTTTGGCCCGGGACACTTTTGCAAGTCTTCGGGTATTTTGAACGTTGGGTTTTGCCTGTTGCCGCCAATCCACTGTTGCTCCGCCGTTGCCGCAATGAACGTCGCGGTGCTTGCAGCAGCGTTAGCCATCCTGCTCGTCAGCCGCGGCTGCGTCCGTGGAGGAGCGCCGGAGGATGACCCTCACAACTGCGACGCCACGAACGAGGCCGACGGCGTGGGGCTGCTCCAGTCACGGGCGTCGGGCCCCAGCGAGCCGCAAATCGGGAACATCATTCGCACGGACGAGACGCAGGACCACAAGCAATACGAGGAGGCGAGAGTTGTGGATGCGCCGATCGATGTCCAGAAGCTCAACTCTACAATTCATCGCCAGCATGAACATCCAGGCGACGTGCGTCTCCTTTCCTCACGTCCTTGCAAGCAAGAGTGTCCCCCAAACACTGTCTGCGTCTCTCTTGGACGCGGTCAACAAGATACTTGCCGTGTTGGTGGTAGTACGGGGCGCATTTCTCCCGGGTACCCGTGCGCATTTTATCTTTTCGGCCAGTGCACAAGGGGGTACTGTTGTGTGACACGCTCTGCAGGTGACATTTTCTCGTGCTGGGCGTGCTAGCCGAGTTGCCCTCCTCTGCCCGGCTCTGCTCCTCTCTCTCTCTCTCTCTCTCTCTCCATCTACAGTCCTTGGAGTCAGATTCGCCTTTTGATTCGCGAACTTTAACAGACACATTCCAGCGCCTGATCCTCCAGTCAGGCCCCATTCAGGTATTTTGGAACACGCGTTCCACGCGGTCATCGCTGACTGCCAAAAGGCAGAGGCATGCGCGAGAGTTGGCAGCAGCGCCTCCAGGATTTAGCAGCCAACAGTTTGCTATCCTACCTCAGCAGGTGCCCAGCGGCACCGCCCTGCCCGTCAGTGCCCGCCTGCCCGACAACTCCCTCGGTGACGTGCGGCTCCTGTCCTGCGTGCCCTGCCTGTTTTTCTTGTACGTGCGGAGGTCTTACTTCAGTTTCGGCGCCAGCCCTGACAGGCGAGTGCCCGGCCTCACAGGATCCTGACTGTGCCTGGGGCTTTTGGCTGACAATCGGCGTTATCATCGGAGTGATCGCAAGGTGGATCTTCATCGGTGTGATCCAGCTCATCAGGGTATTCTTGACGCAGGGGCTTCGAGCCCTCGGAGGACCAGGAGCGTCGGCTCCGACGGCACCTGCTGCGTCTACTGCCCAGCTGACGAACAGCATCAGAGATGGACACTTGTGACTTCCCAGAACCCCAAGTTCTGGTACATTATCCCGATGATGCCGGAGGAGTGATCTGGCATCATCGCATCCTGGCCAAGAAGATCACGGCTGTGGTGTGGATTGTGATCACACCGGATCTCGAGCTGGTCCGACACAACCTTCTCGAGCAGCGCCACGTAGTTTTGGCTAGGAATTCTATGTTTCCAGCAGCCCAGCGTGCTCAGACTTACGGGTTTGATCCAGTGCCTCGGGCTGAGCTCCTCGCCCTCAGGCGCCAGGCCGCTGTGCAGGCCGCCATCCTGGGCGACGACGATCAGGACATGGAGATCGAGAATAATGCCTGGGTGATCGTGGAGACAGATCCCCTCAGGTTCGCCCAGGTCCTGTCTGACACGGAGGTTCAGCAGGCCACCCTTGGCCAGTCCAAGGGCGTCGCCCTGGTTAACGGTATGGAAGTTTTTGTAGAGCGGATCCAGACGAATCAGTTGGAGGCTTGGAAGGCTTCTCGTAAGTCTGGTACTGAAGATCTGCGAGTTTTGGGATATCATCGTGATGCTTCAGGACGTCGTCACCTCGCGTTGAGTGAGGCAGTCTCTTTGATGCGTGAGACGACGTTCGACGATTGGATCATGCCGGGGCCAAGAGTTGTCAAGGAGTGGCTCACGTCAATTAGGAATGGCCCTGGCGACCTGACTTCTTATCATGGGCAGTGGGTGCGGCTCTCGGGAATCAGTGAGTTCTCAGCGGTGGCCCACATACATTACGTTTTGTGTGAAGCAGTCCGCCCGGCCATTCAGACCGACCAGCTCGACGTCACAAATCTTTTGAGTTTTGTGTTGACCATGCGGAGAATTTGCCGGGGCGAGACCGCCGTGTCTTGTAATCCGAGACACCCGGACTACGGAGGTTTGGACATCGTGCTGCACGCCCCGACGACCGAGCAGGGCCAGGCCAGCACCAACAACTTCACGGAGTGGGTGACGAGCCGCTTCAAGGATCAGGCCGCCATTTTCAGGCAGACCCGCCTCTGGAACGAGGAGCAGCGCGCCCTGCAGGCCTCGCGTGGACCGCAAGACCCCGATGCCAAAGGTCGGGGCCGCGGGCGTGGCCGAGGGCGTGGTCGGGGTCGAGACGGCGGCGGTAGTGGCGGCAAGGGTGGCGAGCAGGCGCCGGGGTGAATGGCGCCTCCCGGGCTGAGTCTGATCCTCGAGCTCAGCCCAGTGCTGTCTATCACGATCGGGGACACTCTACCCGGTGGAGGCCTTCAAAACGCAGGCATGGGGACCCGTTCCCTCTGCCGCAATTTTCGGGCACCCAGCTTGACAAGCGTTGGGGCCGTCACGAGCAGCAACAGCGGGTTCACCAGGCACGGGCTTCGCTCAACCACTTCGCTGCCGCTCAACCGAATTCGGCTTCGTTCACCAGGCTCGGCATTCAGCTCAGCCCCCGACCGCCGTCCAGGAGTGGGTCTTGGATAGCATCGTGGAGCGCGTCGACGCAGTGGGGCCTCTCCCTCCAGGTCTCACGGCCGAGGGGACCGCACGTGAGCTGCTGGCCACCAAGGACCTGTACAGTCAGGAGCCGAAGCACCTCGCGCCGTTCGACCTGACAAAGCTCAAGGTAGCGAAAGGACGTGCGCGGCCACGCTCTGTGGCCAACTTCTTACCACCTTTGGCGGCGGAGATGCTCCGCCAACCAGCTCAGCACATCGAGAAAGATGAGGGGGGAATGGAGCTCATGCGCCAAACGACTGATCCCATCAAGCCTTGTTGGGGTCCTGTTCTTCGTTCCAGTCGTCTAGAGCGTTGGCGGCTGTTCAGGGTGTTGTACGAGCTGGGACCTCACCGCCCTCAGACGTCGCCTGCGGGCTCGAGCAGCCCTCTTTTTTGTTGTTGAAGAAGAAGAATCCAGGCGAGATCCGGATGATCGTGGACGCCAGGCAGGCCAACGCCTGCCACCGCGCGCCTCCGACCGCCCGACTTGGGTCGGCAGGCGCCCTCGCAGATCTCGACTTCTCTGTTGGGGGCGGCCCCTTCGACGGCGTCGGTGGCGTTGTCGGCTGGGGCCCCCGCGGGAGCGAGGCTGACGTGGAGGATTGTTTTTTTTGCAACTTTGCGATCGACGGCTTATCGGAGTGGTTCGGCTTCGACGACCCGCTGCCGGTCGCCGCGATTCGGGGCACCTGCGGCATCGCAGTGGGCGCCTTCTGGGACCCGGACATGAATAAGATGGTCCACGCGGACGATGACGTTGTCCTCTACCCCTGCATGCGGGCTATGCGCATGGGCTGGTCGTGGGCCGTGCTCTTTGCCCAAGAGGCAGTCTCTTCGATGACGTGTCGGGCTCTCCAGCCTAGCTCCTCGGCCGAGCCGGCCATGGTGAAGGGGCGGCAAACTGTGCCCGACCTCAACGAGTCGAACGTGCTGGGAAGCGTCTACGTCGACAACATCCCAGTCGTCGGCAGGACCGCGACCCTGGCCCGCGAGGCCAGCTCGGCTCTCCAAGGGGGGGCCGATCGGTGAGGGCTGCCTATCTGTTGGAGTTGCCCGGGCGTCGTCACCCACCTGGGGACGGCGGGGATCGAGCTTGACCTCAAGCACGGGCGCCTCCGCAACAAGGCTTCTCGCATCTGGAGGTTTGACTTGGCCACGCGGGCCCTGCTAGCGCGAGGCAAGATGCGTGGCGAGCACATGGGGGTCTGGTTGGGACACGCGATCTCTCTGTTGATGCTCGCCCGGCCAGGCTACGCCGCGCTGTCCCCCGCCTGCCTGTTCGCGGAGTCGGCCCGGGGCAAACGCACCGCTTTGCCCCGGGAGGTCAAGCAGGAGATGCGCATCGTGGTGGGCCTTGTGTGGCGGACGGAGGTGGACCTGGCGGCGCCCTGCGTGCCGCGCGTGTACGCCAGCGACTCCGCCGACCTCGGGCACGGGCTCATGTACTAGAGGGGAGGAGCTCCGCACGGCCTTCCGTTGGAAGGAGAAGTGGAGCTTCCGACAGCATCTTCGAGGTCCTCGCGTCGGCCTGGTCTCTCCCTCGGATGTCGCTGACGTGCGAGGCAACGGCCCGACGGACCTCCTCTTCGAGCCTCAGGATGCAGGTACGAGCGGCGGCGAGGCCAGGCTCCGATGTCCAGCCTCCTCGCCCCACAGCGGCGCTGGCCCGGCGACCGCCTTCGGCCTGTGGATGCAGGCCAAGGCGGAGGACGGCTCACCGTCGGCTGGCCGTCCTCGCGCCCGGCCTCGCCGAGCTCGACGCCATGGCAGCGTTTGTGCCGATGGCGATGGCGCCATGCCAGAGGTGGGCCGTCTGGCGCCGCCGCTCCCGGTCTCGTGGTTCGACCCTGCGGGCTTTAGGCTGGTTGCCCCGACGCGCTGGCGCTGGCCGTGCGAGCACATCAATGTGAAGGAGACCCGCGCCGCTGTGATGGGGCTCCGACATGCCTGCCGCGTCCGCCGCAACTGCGGACGCCGCCTTGTTTCAATTGTGGATTACATGGTCTGCGTTGGCTGCCTGGATAAAGGGCGGCCCAGTCGCTCAGCAGCCCTGAACGCACAATGCCGACGCGCGGTGGCCTACGCTATCGGATGGAGAGTGCGTTGGAGGCTGCGGCATGTCAGCGCAAAGTTCAACGTTGCCGACGAAAAGTCTCGTCGCTTCGAGCGGACCTTTCCCAGCGAAGGCTACCTCCAACAGGATAAGAATAATGCTTCAACATCTTCCCCTTCTCGTTCTTCCCTTGGCAAGATAGTGGAGATAGGTTCCCTGCCTCATGGGCTCGGCCTCGCAGGGCGTCCGCCCGCCGATGTCGAGAGCAATCAAGTGCCAGAAGTGCAGCCTCGAGAGTCGTGCGCCGATCATCGATCGTCCTGCCCGTCATCCACGTCTACGCCTTCGGCGACTACTCAAACCGCCGGCCCCGCTCTTCGTCTGGGACATGCTGAACTTCCGAGGCGGGCCCGACGTGGCCGGGGCTTTCTGGAGCTGTCCTCGCGAGGGCGGGCTCTCGGAGGCCTTCGAGGAGCTCAACTTGTGGACGTCCCCTTGCATGGGCATCAAAGATGGGCCCCACTATGACCATGGATCCCGCGGTCCAGCTCATCATCTTGGAAGGTACTCGGAGGGGGCTCTTTTGGTAAAAACATATGGGTGCCCCGTGTTGTGTTGAGGTTTTTTGTTCCTCTCGACGCATCCCCTGCCCCCCAGGTCCCGTTCACGCACACGCCTCGGGCCACGATGCGCGTTCCCCCAGAGGCTCGAAGCCTCGAGCCCGCCGGGGGAGCGAGGGTGCCGAGCCTCGTGGCCCAGACTGCTGCCCGAGCTGGCCACAGACACATCCCTGCGCGCGCGTGTGCTGCCGCATCGATCCGTGATGCCGGTCGTGGTCGCTCCCCTGGCTTCGCCCTGCCCCTTGCCCACCGCGCCGTCCCCTTGCAAGACCTGCGTGCGCAGTCTTCTGGTGCTGAGGTTCCCTGGCAGCCCGGCGCTCGCCGCCCCCTGGCCCTCCAACTCCTCCACCTCCTCTTCCTCCTCCTCCTCCCCATCCTTCTCCCCCTCCTTCATCTCCTCCTCCTCCTCCTCCTCCTCCTCCTCCTTCTTCTCCGCCCACCTCGGCCTCGCGGGGCTCCCATCGCTTGCCTCTGACCGCGCCCCGGGTGCTCGACCAAGGCGCAGCGCCCACGGTTTGGCCGCCCCTCGGGGCGTGTTGGGGGCGGGCAGGCTTACGCCGCCGCGACGGGCGGCCACCGCGCCGGGGTGCTCGAGAGTTCCTTCGTCGCAGAGGCCAGGCCGCCGTCGCCGCCGCTCGTCGTCGCTCATCGGTTTCATCGTCATCGTCGTCGGCGTCGTCGTCGTCGGCGTCGGCGTCGGCGTCGGCGTCGGCGTCGGCGTCGGCGTCGGCGTCGGCGTCGCCGTTGTCGTCGTCGTCGTCGTCGTCGTCGTCGTCGTCGTCGTTGTCGTCCTCGTCGTCTCCGTCGTCGGCGTGCGTCGTTGTCCGGCCTCTGTCGTCGGCGCCGTCCGGCGTCGTCCGCCGTCGTGGTCGTTGTCGTCGTCCTTCTCGTAGTTATCCTCGCTCCGTCGTCTAGTCTTGGATGCCAGGGGCGGCCTCGTCATCGTCGTCGTGATCAGTGGTGGTGGTGGCTGTCGTCGTCGTCGTCGTCGTCGTCGTCGTTGCCGCCGGGCACGGGATGGGAAGGGGAGGAAAGGGAGAGGGGAGGAGGAGGAGGAGGGCGACCAGGAGGAGCAGGAGGAGGGTGATCAGGAGAAGCAGGAGGAGAGAGGAAAAGTGGAACAGCAGGAGCGATTTGGGAGGGTCTGTCCGCCCGTGGTGATCTCCTCCGCCTGTGCTGTCCCCTCCATCAGCCCCCCCGTTCCGCCATCTCCCCCCCCACGCGTCGTCGTCGATGAGGCCGCCGTCGCCGCCGCCGCCGTCGTCGTCGTCGTCGTCGTCGTCGTCGTCGTCGTCGTCGTCGGCGTCGGCGTCGGCGTCGGCGTCGGCGTCGGCGTCGGCGTCGGCGTCGGCGTCGGCGTCGGCGTCGGCGTCGGCGTCGGCGTCGGCGTCGGCGTAGGCGTCGGCGTCGGCGTCGGCGTCGGCGTCGGCGTCGGCATCGGCGTCGGCGTCGGCGTCGGTGTCGCCGCCGCCGCCGCCGCCGCCGTCCTCCCCACCAGACATCCAGCGCTTCGATGCCCGAATGTTTTTGACGCGTGGGCCCCCAGACTTATCGACCCCAGGGGTGGCTCTCGTCCCGGTCTGATTTCTGACGGTCCCGGGGCCCGAGGCCAGCCTGGCAGAGGCCTGGCAGAGGTGGCGGCAAGCCGGCCGCAGCAGCAGCGTCGGGCGTTTGGACCTTCCCCCCCGCTCCTCGCCCGTGTTGGTTCTCGCACCCTCCTCCCCGTTCTCCCCTCCTGGTCCTCCCCTGCTATCCCACTGGAGTTCCAGGTCTGCTACAACACGCGTCGGCCAGCAGAGAGAACATCGGCGCATTGGGAGGGCATGCGTGGGAGGGGTACGATGGCAGATCTGGCGCGAGCTCACCTAGCTTGTCGTCCCCCCCCGCCCTTCCGCTCCTCCCCTCCTCCCCCTTTCCCCCTCCCTTGGGAACGTTACCAGCGGAAACGGCTCGGGGTCAGACTTCGCGGACCTTTGTCGATTTTTCCCAACCATCCTGTGGTGTTGGGTCCTCGTTTTGAAGAGACGGTGCCCCGCGTTCTCCTTCCTTCCTTCCTCCCGCTGCCTCCTCCCCTTCCTCCTCCCTCCTCCCCCCCTTCCCTGCGTTTCACCCACCCAGTACAGCGCTTCGTAGTCCCATAGGAGCCCCACCGAAGGCCCCAGTGGCCGCGGCCGCATGCGTCACCCACACACATTTCGGCACACCCCTCACACGCTTCGTTGCCCCACAGGGAGCTCCACCGAAGGCCCCAGTGGCCGCGGCCGCATGCGTCACCCACACACATTTCGGCACACCCCTCACACGTTTCGTGGCCCCATAGGGAGCTCCACCGAAGGCCCCAGTGCCCGCGGCCGCATGCGTCACCCCCATCCACTTCGGCCAACCCCTCACACGCTTCGTGGCCCCATAGGGAGCTCCACCGAAGGCCCCAGTGCCCGCGGCCGCATGCGTCACCCACACACATTTCGGCACACCCCTCACACGTTTCGTGGCCCCATAGGGAGCTCCACCGAAGGCCCCAATGCCCGCGGCCGCATGCGTCACCCCCATCCACTTCGGCACACCCCTCACACGATTCGTGGCCCCATCGGGAGCTCCACCGAAGGCCCCAGTGCCGCCGCCCGCATGCGTCACCCCCACCCACTTCGGCACACCCCTCACAGGTTTCGTGGCTGCATAGGGAGCTCCACCGAAGGCCCCAATGCCGCCGCCCGCATGCGTCACCCCCACCCATGTCGGCACACCCTCACACGTTTCGTGGCCCCACAGGGAGCTCCACCGAAGGCCCCAGTGCCCGCGGCCGCATGCGGGGTAGGATAGCGGCAGCCACGAGGTAGGGAACGGCAAGAAGGAGGACGACGACTGGTGGCTGGAGCTCTACGCGCTGCTCTCGCGCGCCACGCGCCACGAGGACCTCCTGCTCATGCGGGCGCCGCGCATCGAGTTCTTCCTGGCAGGGCCGCCGCAGGGCTTGCGGAAGCAGCTGGAGCAGTTTGCGGCGCGCACGAAGCGGTGCAGGAGGGAAGCGACGGCCCTCGCCAGGGAGCTCGGCTTCACCGAGTTCATCCGCGAGGCCTGACCTGAGGAGCGTCTCCCCCGAGCCGCGCCTTCTCTCGACTGCCCGACTAATTGTTTGGCCTCGCGCCGCGGACGACCCGCGCGCGTCGCTGGGACCCTCTCGGGGCGACCAGCGCGCGTCGCGGGAACTCCGTGCTGCGGGGGGCCCGGCGCCTCGTTCGCCCGTCGTCGCTCTGCCCAGCGGTCAGAGACTTGCCCGCTATCAGCCAGCCAGTTAGCTAGTCAGCTCTCTCTGCTTCGCGCAGCGGACGACCCGCGCGCGTCGCTGGGACCCCGCCCGGGGCGACCAGCGCGCGCCGCGGGGACTCCGCGCTGCGCTGCGCCCGCAGCCTTGGATTTTGGAGTGCGCGGGCAAAGAGGAAGGAAAAGAAGAGCCGAAAGCGGGCGCGATCCTCGCAAGAGGCGTGCCGACATGGGCGTCGCGACGTGCGGACGCTGCCGTCGGGGTTCCCGCGGAAGCTGCCTGCGGCGGCCGCGCCCAGTGTCACGTGTGTTCGGACAGGCATGCTCGAACCATTCACATTCGTATACACTTACACTAGGCGTTTCCATGATCGCATTCATGCAAATATATTCACTCGCGCGCAGACCCATTCATACTCAGATTCCCTCGCGCTCTGACTCACCCGCGTTCTTTCTCTCGTAATCAGATCTATAGTATTCCTTTGCGTTGTGTACCCCGCCACATTTCGGCACAC